GGTGGGAGGCTCAGCTCTGGACCTCTCTGGCTATATCTACACTACACTGATCTATCGAAAAAAGGTATGCAAATTGTGGTAGCTTTTTCGGAAGGGCCAAATTTCAGAAAAGCTTTCTCTTTTGGAAGAGCCCTTCTTCATTGTGAGAGGAGGAAGACAGGGCTTCTGAAAGAGCACATCTGCTGTTCCACAAAAAAAAGCAGAAGAGCAGAGGCTTTCCCTGAACTCGGTGGGGTTGGTATCCCGGAAAAACCCTGTAATCTAGACATAGCCTCAGAAGGGATGGAGCAGAAAGGACAGGGCTAGGGGTTGGCCAGTCCTCAGCACCACCCAGACAGCACCATGCAGTGCTCTGCCCGCTCCCCTGTTCCGTTGGTGGCCCTGATCCTCTGCCATGCAGCTGGCAAAACAATAACTACAATATGAAAGCCAGGATAAGTCTAGGTGCTTTAAAATAAACAGTCATACTGTTTTAAACCAAACCCTAGTGCAATAAGTAGAGTCATGGGAGGATAGAAAATCTGTAACTGCATCCAGGACTGGCGACATACTTTGCCGGGCCCTGGGCAATTGGGGGAGAGAGGGTCCAAGCCCCCCCAGAAGGGTGGGGGCCTTAGATGGAAAAGGGGGGGGGGCTAAGAGCTAGTCTCCACCAGCCAGCCCTCAGCACTGTTCCAGCAGCAATTGAAAGGGTCCAGGGTTCTAGTGGCACTAGTGATTGCCCAGAACCATGGGTACTTTTAAATTGCTGGGACCCAGGATAACTGCCCCTTTTGTCCCCCTGTCCTCAGTGGCCCTGTCTCCATCTGATCTGCAATCCACAAAAATGATCTGTGGACACCCATAGATATCAAGCGAATATCCACAGATTTGCAGGGGTCTAAATTACAAAATTTGCGTCCACATCCTATCTGCAATCCACAAAAGTGATCTGAGATAGCTGCCTCCACAGATGCAGATACCCGCAGATATTAAGCAGATATCTCTGGATTTGCAGGGCATCATGCAATAAGATGATATTCAGTACTAGTACATGTAAATTCCTGCATCGAGGGAGAGGAAATAAATAGAACAGCTATTAATTGAAGGGGAGCTAGCTGTGAATCTGAGAAAAATCTAAGGGTGGTCACAGACTGCAAATTAATACAGAGTCTCAGCCTGATGCTGCTGTGGACGAGAATGGGATGCCATGCTATTTTTGGATCTGTATATATAAAAAATCATATGGAAAGCTAAAGAGATAACAGTGTCATGTTAACAGAGACCTAGCACAACCATAGTGGGAATAGTATGTGCAGTGCTGGTCTCCACAGATTAGAACAGATATAGAAAATTAAAGGAAACAAAAATAAGTGCAGGAAAAGTGATCCAAGAACAGATGGAGAGATTGAAAGAACTAAATTAATACAGTCCAGAAGCTGTGAACCAAATCCAACTATAAATACTTTCAAAGTAACAATATATGTGAAAGTAAGTAATTAATCTAGCTCCCAAGATGGTAGAATGGGGAGCAGTTGGTTGAAATTAAGTAGGAGAAGTTCAGGATGGAATGTAAAGGCACTGACCCCCAAAGGAGGTAGTTCTGGTACAGAAACTGCCCACATTCAAGAACAGATTAAACAAGAATCTAGGGGAAATGATTTAGACAATGACACTCTTAAAATCCAAAGGTGCACAGTAAGCAATCTTTTTGTTTTATTTTCTTTGGTTATCAAAAAGACTGGTACTCCTATGCAGATGTATATAATAGTATGAAGCTCAATGGATTTGGCCCACTCTGCTGCTGTATCATTGGTTAAAATCCAACCCAGGTCAGTTGGTTGCCCTTTGGCTTATGTAAAATGAGTTTGGTGAATTCCTGGAAGAACAAGTGTCCTCATTCCAAAAACCACCATCCCAATTGGCAGATTTATGGGCAGTTTCAGCATTGAGCACAAAGGTGGAAAGGGCATGGAGTCTGAATTACCATTATGTTTTTTAACACAAGGTGATCCTTCCAGCTCTGAGTTAAGAGACATTAGTAGAAAAATGAGAAGTGGAATTTTACATGATTGCTGCTTGTATTGTACCCTCTCTGTGGCTCCGCTGAGAACCAATAACGCCAATATATCAACTTTCAGGAACACTAAAATACACAATACTTTAAAAAAGGGGAGGGGCGGCCCACTGTTAACAAGTCCTAGAATTTTCAATGACAAATGGGAACACACACATGAGGCATATAAATCCATGTATCATCATGGCCCCCACCCTTTACAAATATCCCATCCCAACTGCACTCACCAGTCGGGACTTCTGTCCCCTCCTCACTGTAGATGGGCAGTGGTGATTCCTCCATAGGGTGAGGCACTGATGGAAAGTAATGAATTGTGGTAGAATTTGTCGCAAAGTGACAATCACAAGATGGTCCCTTTATTACCATTATAATACAAATGTCTGGCTACTCTCACAAGGAGTCCTTTTTCAAAAAGTCACATGGCAAGGATGTCCCCTGCAAATATTTCACGTGTCTGCAGACACAATCCTGATGAAGACTTCACATACATCCTCTGAGACTTCACATACATCAATGAGTTCCTCCATCTGAAGTCTGAAATCCCTGGTCTTAATTTCCACTTGAAAATTCACATTCAGGGAGGATTATTAGCTTCTGAAAGTTTAACATGACCAAAGAGGTCTCGTTTTGGTCATTCATAGTCGATGGGGTTAATCCCAAACTGGAAATTCCTATCCGTAGAAGTTTAGACCCTTCTGAAAATTTCATAGTTCCAACACTTGATAATATTCTGATTAGTCACATTCCGGGAGTTTAACTCTCTTTTGAGAATGCATACTACTGAAGAAGTCAAGGAGAGCCAAGACACTGAGGCACATACAGAGATAGGTCATAGACATCAAATCTGAGTCATGATATTTCGTGCAGAGAACCAGGAGAGAGAGGCTCTGGTGCTCAAAGCTTAATGACACAGCAGGTGGTAAAACGCTGTACTGTATATGGGCTCTAGGCCATACATTTTGTATTACTGATCCATTTTATGGAATATATTCCAGTTACAAGGCTTTAAATTATCCAGATATTCAGCTTTATGGTACTAAATCTAGATCTTTGGATCTGCGTTCCAGTGGGCTCCAGATTCTAGTGTACATCAGGACACCATATCATGATGTCTTTAGGTTTCTTTTTCTATTTAAAGCGTCTTCCTTTAAAGATGTTTTTGGTTACCCTCTGGTGATTCATCTTTAAAAAACTGGAGGAGCTATGTCCTTTGAACTCTGTTTAAGAGGTTTGAATTTTCTATATTAGGTTCCCATGTTGAAAAATGTGAGTAATATGATTCCTGGAATTTTTCTATTCCTATTGTCTTTTTAAAAAATAGTGCCGTAGCTTCTCAAAGATGTAAGAGCTCCCTCAGTCTCAATTTTAGCAACCCAGTGTAAAGGACAATTCCTTTCAATTGCTGGTGTGTTTTTTTCATTTATTATACACGTGCTCTTCTCATTTAAAAAGCTTATCCTTAATTGATTGCCTTATATATTTCCATAAAACCAGCCAAATGACTGTTCTTTCATGATTCAAAATACAAAATAAAAGTATTATAACATATAGCCAGAGAGAGAGAGTTTTGACTAACAATGGACCACGTGATTGTGTCTTGCTAGGTTCAAAGAGGCTCCAATCTCTGCCTACACCTAAACCCTCTAATTTAAATGCAAAATAAAGGGTAGAGTAAGAGAGAAACACAGCTGAATACAGTTGACTACATAACTACCATACTAGGCAGGGAAATAATGGTTACAAGTGCGCACTGCACAAGCTCCTTTTATCTAGAAGCGGAACTAACATTCCAGCCCAATAACACCAAAAAAACCCTACACATTTGACACCACACAACGTTTTGCTACATATTAGCCAGTAGTTGCTATTTGAGTCTAATCTAGTGCCATAATTCAGAGATGTATGTTATTTCCTGGAGACAAAAAAGTTGATTTATGAGAAATGCATGCTTCAAAGTTATACAAAACAGGTTCTGCATTGCAATTAATGCAGTCATTTCCCTCATTAAGGATAATTTTGCACTAAGACAATAATGGCCTTAATCTATACTCTTTGAAATATTTTCTTGTCTTTACTTACTGGAAAAAGATACTGGAGCAGAACTTACTTGACTGCTCAAAATGTTAAAATCAGAGATCTGCAAGCAAAACCAGTTGCTCAGCGATGTGTAAAACTGTTGAATTCCATGATGTGTGGTTTATGTATTCTTTGCAGTCCTGTACAAGATTCATCAACCTAACCTCGACTGAGCATTTATTCTGGAGGCAAATGTATTCACAAAACATTTGCAACAATATTCATCAATGTTTGGTGTTATTTACTCTCATTTCAGAGGGTCTATAGGTTGTAGAAAAGGCCTAAAATATGTATTTGCTACAAAAGAGGCCACATGCATAAACAAACAAACAAAAAAACTTTACAGACACAACTTGGATTTTATAGAAGAATCCAAGAGAGAAAAGCTTTTTCTAGCATTCAACTGGGAGTTAGGACTCCTGAGTGCTAAGCTGAGCTCTGACACTGACTCCTTCTTTGACCTTGGCCAAGTCACTTAGGGCTTGATCCAAAGTCCATTGAAGTCAATGAAAGTGTTTCCAACAAGTTCAATGTGCTTTGGCAGAGACCTTCAGCCTGTATGTATCTGTTAGTCCTCTTATGTAAAGTGACACATCACAACATACTTCACAGGAGTGGTGTGCTCACCAATGTCTGTAAAGTGCTTTGTAATAGTGCCTACATACTATTGTGATGTGCACAACAGAACTCCATATGCAGATTTGAGATAACAGGCATTAGATATTGTTATTGTGTAACAGCCATTTATTTTTACATGCTCTTTGCTCAGTGGTTTCTATGACCAGATGGTAAGTGTTCAGTAATTGAACATTTTGATAATTTTTATAATCCTTTTGTAATTTCATAAATGAGCATAAACAACACTTACATGAAGAAGAGTCTCTCCTGAATGGATTGTCTCTTCCTTTTTCAAGAGGGGATAAAAAGAAACAGAAAAGAAAACAAAGAAAAAGCAAATAAATAAACATACATAAACAAAATAAAATAAAATGAGGAGGGGAGGAGTCCATAATGATACTAAGATACATTTGATTCAAACATCATCACACAGATGATGTCCAATAAGTAATAAAGATAACTATAGAAGTTTTTTGAAGTACATCATGACACTGAAAATAAAAACACAAAAATAGACCGTTTTTCATCTGTCACCTCACAACAATTTTTTAACATAAATTATTGCAGAAATTTTGACTGGATATGTCGTAAGAGCAAGTCAATTACACTATACTGTGTCTTAGGGATAATACAACTCCAAGGCCATTTTATGTGGATCAAAGTAAGAAGACTTTTTTAATTACTTCCTAAAATCTTCATAGATGGCCACATTCATCTGAATGTGATGACTTCCCCTGAAATGGCTAGGAACCCACAACAACAAACACAATGGAGCTGTTATGACAGAACAAGCCTTCATTCCAACAAATGATTTTGTATAACTCATGCCTCGGGTCATTCCCCTATCTGTCTCCAGTATAAACAAGGCTTGTGTATACCTGAAAGTTAATTTGGATTCACAAAGGATGTGAATTTAAAGCACAATAACTATTCTTAAACAACTTCAAGTGTGGACACTCTAATACTGGAATAAGTCCCATGTGTAGACAAGCTCTAAAAGCTTGTGTACTGGTCACTAGGGCTGCACATGAGTGAAAAAGTGCACATTCTTCCTGCCAGCCCAGTTAGCAGTCATTTTGTATGCTCATTGGGTTGGGAAAACTAAGGAGATTCTCTTTTGGTCTACACTAGGGAGTTATTTCAAAACAAGGGAAACATCCACACTAACAAACCCGTTGTTATTTTTAAATCTGTACCACTGCTTCCCTTGGGGAATAAGCTTATTTTGAAATCATTATTTTGGGAGTTATTATTTTGAATTTAGCTCCTTCAAAATAATTTCCTAGTGTAGACATGCCCTTGCTAATATACATATAGTCCCTCTGAAAGACAAAATCCACATAAATGCAACGGTCGCTATAGAACAGGGCTGGGCAACATGCGACCAGGGGCCAGATCCGACCCACCAAACACTTTGATCTGGCCCATGAATTTCATCTGGCCACTTTCTATTTACATCCTGCTGCCTGTGCTACCAAATTTCCGGATGGTGGTTCAGGCAGCAGAATCCTATTTAATTGGCTCACAGCTCCCCGTTGTGGCATTATCCTGGCAGGGGCCGGAGCTGTGAGCCCTTTAAATAGCCCCAGCAACTCCAGGCAACTGCCAGGCAGGCAACACAGTAGCAGGTCTGGGAGCCACAAACCCTTTACTGTGTTTTAATTCCAAGCCTTCGTCTCCAGACAACTCTGGGTGGGGGCTAGTCCCTGCCCTTCCACTCCTTTCGAGAGGTGGAGCTGGCCTGTGACCACATACCAAAATTCATTAAGTGACCTCCATGCCAAAATTATTGCTTACCTCTGCTACAGAAGAAGCCAAACCCCTTCTTCCCACCCTGCTTCTCTCTCTCAGAAGCTCAGATCTGAGGTAAATAACACTGGTAAATGTTGACCCTCCAATGGCAGTCATCATACTTATATTTGGAAATAAGTTAATGGATAACTTTATTACACTTTTACTATCAAACTTCTATTGGAGTAATTTACTCTTATATCAACCACAGTATAAGTTTAGCAATAATGGCCAGAGTTTAGCATGTACACTCTTGTCTTTGAATTGATAAAAATGCTTTGGCTCAGATACTTAGCAGGTGTAAAGTGCTACATAGTTCTGTCTTTTGTTTCAACTCAATCAGTGGAACTGATTTACACTAGACTAGCTTTTGGTTTACCTATCACAACCAAATCGCAACCTATTGCATTTGTGGGGGGAAATTCAGTTAACATAGAAATGACAACTTGATACTCTGACTTTCCTTCCAAACTACTGGGGAATCATTCCTGTAAACAGACTATTCTAACTGCCTCTGGAGTCAGTGGGAATTCTTTTTTTTCTTTTGAGTGCTTAAAAGAGGGGACCATGCGATTACTTTTTAAAAGCCTTTTATAGCATAAGTGTGGTTTAGTGCATTTGATTTTGTTCCACCACTATCTCCCAGTGTAATGTATTCAAAACTGCCATTCTAAAGCATCTACAGTTGATTAGGACAATGAATCAGATCAGACTACAGTACTTTTAAAAAGATGTAACTTCTCCAGTTTTCACATCCAGCTTTAGTTGTTGCATGTTTCTAACTGAACTGCTTGAATTTACAAGAAACAGGAGATTAGGGGTTGTCCACACTGCTACTTTACTGCAGTGTAACTTTCTGGCTCAAGGATGTGAAAAAATACCCCCCGCTCTGAGCAAGTTATAACTCTGTAATGCACCAGTATAAATAGGTTCCCTGTTAGCTATTCCCTCTTGGAGGTGGTTTACCTAATAGTGTTGAGAGAGCTCTCTCCCAGCACTGCTGCCAGGACCATACTGCGACATTAAAATATTAAGTGTTCTTAAGAAAGCAAAGTAATCTTTATAGAGTCATTTGTCTACATTTTAAAATCACCAAAGAACACGGCACAACTGTATAATGCCAGTTTGGTATTGGTTCATGTGTCTCATGTCAGGACAGAGGTGCACTGGCAGACTGGGAAGGGAACAGGCAGTGCTAAAAATGAGAACTTGAGGAGCATTGGTAGAGGGATGTAATAAGGAGTTTGAATTGACTAAAAGCAGAACCTGGCACTACACTGTTACAAATTCTTCGTTTCGCCAAATCTACCCGGTTAGCAGAAACAGACAAAGGCTGTTCTGGTGCGCTTGTGGAAATCACAGACACAGGACAAGGCTCAGAGACTAATTATTTTATACATCTAAACTTAAAAATTAAATGATGGTGACTATGTAGTTTTTCCAAAAATGGGAAATCAACTAGGACCTTTAAGGAAAACAGTAGACCAAGGCATAGAGTAGATCCAAATGAGTAAAATATATGACATCAAAGTGTTTGTTACTGAATCTTCACTTCCTTGGGACAACAAAATCATGTGATACTCAACATGTGCACTTGTACTTCTCTTTTCTGATGGACATTGATTTATTTTAATATCTATATCTATATACTACAATATCTCAGTCAAAAGAGCCAATATTGAGAATCTACTATTAGTGCAGAATACTGTAGAGTATTTTAATACTGGAAATAGAGGGCTTTCCAAGGCAATATTAGGGCTGACAGCGTTATTATTTGCAATGGACAGAAAGAGCTTTAGCAATGAAATTGACTTTAACCTACATTCTGTATGCACAATTTCCTCTCAATAAATATAATCAGATATTCATTTCCTTTACCGCCCTCATTTTTTTAAAGAAGATATTGTCAGATCCAATAGAATGAGAAAATAATTCATCTTTTCTCCCCAAAAGATTATGGTACATGTAATAACACTGTAGGGTAAATATAGAGAAAGAAAGATTTAGAAGACTGAAGAATTATAGTGTTATGCTCTGAGGAGGGAAAGCTTAATAACATAAAATGTGATTGGGATTTAAACAGTCCTATTATTGTACTAAATTGAAAATTCAGGATGCTTCAGTAAAGTGAAAAGACATGTGGTTTACTTTAAATTCAGTTCAATGTGCAATGATGGCTTGGTTTTCCTTTAAGTTTTATACTTCTCTGCCCCGTAATCTATACTCTCAATTGGCTCTATTGGGGGATTTTGGGTGCAAAATGCAGATTAGACATTCAATGCAGAGTCAAGTAGGAACAGCCAAGTTACAAAGACACACAATGGAACAACTCCTACTAATGAAAGTGCAGGTAGCACAAAACAATTAGGCTATGAGGGAGTATAGCTTCAAAGTATTATATGGGGTTTTCTCACTGCATTATAATCCATGGAGCTTGTTCAGTTAAAAGCCTCTTTAGAAATGTATCCCCAAGTGGAAAGGCAGCTTTAAGTGTGAATCACAAGGACGTAAATCTGTACTGGTATTCAGATTACAAATCAAGCAATTAATCCTTGGAATTCTCCCCCGTTTTACTTATGAAACAAGTCACTCTGCAGAATCCTACTGAAGCAATCCAATTCTGGCAGACAAGACTTCTCAAACATCAGGTACAAATAGTAATCTATTCTAAGATTCCTTTGTATTTTTCAACAGCAGCATTGCTCCTCTTGTTCACGCATGATTTCAGACATCTTTGAGACCTGTTCTTACCTCAGCTCATGTGTTATGCCATTTAAAACAAAAACCAAAAAACCCTCAAACCACCCAAAAATAAAAATGCTGCCAACTAAACTTGAAGGGCCAAATTCTGCCCTTCATTTTTCTTAGTGTACATTAACATCGTCAGAATTATACTAGATTTACATCAGGATCTGGCTTGATATCCCTAAAACCAAAGATGGCAATTTTTAGAAAAGCATTTCTCCCCATCTGTCCATCTCCTTAATGCCCAGAGATTGATTTCTGCTGCCTGGGTTTACTGCTCTAGTCTTTACATAGTGCCACAGCAGGTAGCCAGAGGATTTTGAAATCAGTTGTCCAACACTACACACTGAAAAATGCAGATTGATAAATAGTAAACAGACATTTTAAGTTTTAAAAGGAAATCCCTTGCCTTTCCATTCTCTGCCCATCTTTATTACAGTGATACTCAGACGTCAGTGTTTCACTAGTCAAATTAGCAAACAATATACCTGAAAGTGCCACAAATAACAATTGGGTTATAAATAAAATCATATAGCGTTTTAATACCATGTGCTCGTAAGAAGCTAGGGGGAACACATAAAAGAGCCATTTGCAGCTTGTGAACCCCAGTCTGAATTTCACTCATACATTAAGTTTGTCTGCTCGCCATTCCCTGCCCTCTAATGGCTGGAATGTCATAGTGCAGTCGTCTTGCAAAGAGACTGAGAAACAATGTCACCCTCTGATGGCCGCAGCCTAAACCCATAAGAAAGAGAAGGTGGAAGAGAATGCAAGAAATGAAAAAAGTAGTTAAGGTGAGCTGGAGAGACAGGAGAAGAGAAAGGGAGGGGGAGGAAAGAGAACAAAAAGGTAGATAAAAGATGGAAGTGAGAGAGGGACTATCTCTGAATGATTCACAAGTACTAGCTAACATTTACTCACACTTGTTTACTAAAACAAAAAACAGGACTATGTAGCACTTTAAAGACTAACAAGATGGTTTATTAGGTGATGAGCTTTCGTGGGCCAGACCCACTTCCTCATCACCTAATAAACCATCTTGTTAGTCTTTAAAATGCTACATAGTCCTGTTTTTTGTTTCAGCTACACCAGACTAACACGGCTACATTTCTGTCACTTGTTTACTAAAGGTATTCTTCCTCCAGACACATACAATTCATCCTCAATTTGTGCTCTGATATAGAGGCAAATGGCATTATTAGTATGGTACTAAAATCTCCTTCTCTCACCACAACCATACTATACTTCTGTAAAAGGAAATGACCTTCAACCAATTTCAATGATCTTCCATAATACTTCTTTGGAAAAAAACAAGGCCAAAAAAAGTTGGATAATTTTGTTTGATTCCAAATCCATATGCCAAGACTGTAAAAGTTTTGTTCAAAGTCTCTCTCCTCAACTTTCCACACCACCAAGTTACATTGGGTTGATTTCCTTACAAATCTACATCCATCGAATTTAAACTGGTAGCAACTATCATCCAAGTACCAAATTATCCATACAACTAACTCTGTGTCTCCTGAACAACACCGCTACACTTCTTGTTGGTCCAACACTTGAAACATTTTGACATAGAAGTAAAAAGACACAGTGGTTACCAAAATAGCACTATAAACACAACCAGCTCTTCTTGGTACATTTTCTTAATGCCTTTCCCAATACGGTTAAAAAATGGGACCTAATAACAACAAAAAAACCCTCTCTCCACCTTGGAATGAATTGTACTGAAATACAAGAATCTTTTATATGTGTGGTTGTGTTTCTTCAAACTTGTTTCTTGGACCTCTGTTTCCCCACTCATATTTTCATTTGTTATTTAAAGAATCACAAAAAAGAGAGAAGAAACAAGAGATCAGCATGTGTAGGTGCAAGAATTATGTCATTTTGAAGAAAAAAAATTATCAAAAGAAAAATACATTTTTCGGCTATACCAAATGAGGAAGTATAAAGCAGTGAATATATTCTGAATTCTCCATCTTTTTATGCATGTTTTATATTCTTGTATGAATGCACATTAACTCCCACATACACCCTCATGTTCTTTGAAAACTTAGAGCTGTCTCCAAAGTCTGTCTTTTGTTGCGTTGTTTGTTACATTATCATACACCACTGAATATTCATCACCTTAAACTCAGTAGGCTATATTCCCATCCAATTCACACGGATGTGAATCCGAAATTACTTTTTTGACACCAAGGTCACTGAAATCAGAATCGTGACCCACCGAGTTATGACATTTTTGGAAACTTTAATTGCCTCTGAAGAAAAGAATGTCAGACCCCTATCAGATCTACTGGTAAGTAGCAGCAGCAGCTGCAGCAGCCCTGCACTGTACTGGTCTTTCAATTGGACCAGGCTGGAGGTTTGCATACAACCTTCAAAAAAAGCTTGTATTTTAACAGCAGCAGAAGGAACGGAAAAAAGAAGAAATGTATTTTTAAAACACTGGAGAGCTGCCAAGCAAGTGGTTAATTTCTCTCTGCAAACTGTTATCTGAAAAAAAAAAAGTTAACACAAGGTGGTGGAGCACGTACAGAGGACATGATGGAAATAACTGCTCGAGAAACCACACGGCAGCCTAGATAGCAATTTAAGTACAAGTAAGGGGGTGTTTTGTTTTTTAACTGGGACTTGCAAAGAAACAGTCCTACTGGTCTGAGCCCCCTAACTGCAACAAAACAACTCGCTGTAATAGACCTAACAAAGGCTACGGCAAAAATTAGGGGCTGGGGAGGGAAACAGACTCTGAACAGAGATGAAACATTTGCAGCGTTCATCCACCAATGCAACATCCCCCCCACGCACACACTTCCTTCCGAGCGTCCTTTCTTTGCCGACTCCATGAAGCAGCCCCAGAGAAGCAGCAACGCGTCCTCCCCTCAGCCCCTCTCGCGCCTAGCAGCGCTTCCTCGCTGCCTCCCCTCGGCCGCCTGACAGCTCCTTTGTTCCTTCGGCAGCGCCCAGAACGCGAAGCGTCTCCTCAATGCAACATCCCCCCCACGCACACACTTCCTTCCGAGCGTCCTTTCTTTGCCGACTCCATGAAGCAGCCCCAGAGAAGCAGCAACGCGTCCTCCCCTCAGCCCCTCTCGCGCCTAGCAGCGCTTCCTCGCTGCCTCCCCTCGGCCGCCTGACAGCTCCTTTGTTCCTTCGGCAGCGCCCAGAACGCGAAGCGTCTCCTTCTCCAGCAGACAATGGGGCGAGAGGGGCGCGCGCTCCCTTACCTGCGGCGGGCTCAGGTGGCTGGCCAGGGCGCTAGGGGCGTCCGTGCTGTGCGTCCTGGGGAAAGGGGCCGCCCGACTAGCCGGGCTGCGGGGGAAGAAAGGGTAATTTATAAGCGCTTTCTTCCTGACCTCTCGTCTCCGTTGTCTAATGAGGGAGCGTCGAGCATCACCCATCCTGCTGAGTGGAAAAACACCGGCTCTGCCTCTTCTTTGGTGGAGGGGCGGGGGTGCGCGAGGAAGGGGTGTGGGGAGGAGGGGCCACGCTTTCAGACATGCAGCCGGGGAGCCTGGGCTGGCAGGCAGCCTGCTCAGCTCCGGGGAGGGGCCGCCAGGGGGCCAGCGGGGCCGGGGGCAGGGAGGGGGGGGGAGCTCTGCGAAAGGGAAAGTGGAAGCTCCCCCCGCTGCTGGGACAGCCCGGTCCCTCGCGGCTCCACCGCTGGAGTCACTCTGGATTGACACCGATGTCGGGGAGAGCCGCGCGCGGCACAGACAGCAGCACCAGGTGCCCCGCGCAGGCCACCGAGGACAAGTGGCACAGCGTTCCTCATGCAAGCCCGCATCCCGCCTCCCGGGCCTGTGCGCATCCAGGCGAGGGGGGAGGTGGAGGGAGCGGGACCCTGGAACAACAGGATGGAAACGGGCCACAAAGGAGCAGGAAGCCGGATTGTTTGTGTCAAAACCCTCAAGACAGCTGGCTGTCCAGCCTCCTTTTGAAAACCTCCAGTGAAGGAGTTTCCAGGATCCACCTGGGCAGTCTGCTCCCTTGTCCTACTGGTCTTACAGTTAAGAAATTTGTCCTGGGATTTTTATCTAAATCTGCTGAGCTGTGGGCACTGCTTCACCTTCTTGCCCTGCATGGCATCATGTGTGGTGGTTCAGGGTGTTGCTTGTGAAATATATGACAAGAAGCGCTTTGTCTGCAGTTCTGAGCTGCCCTGGGTCCACAGTGCCTTCCCCTGTGTGTGTGTGTTCAAACAGTTGTCTCCTCTAGTGTGTGTGGAGGGGGGTTCTGGGGGGGGTGTGTCAAATGGTTGTCTTCTCTGTTTTGTATGTGTGTATGTTTTCAAACAGTTGTCTTCTCTGCTACTAAATGACTGTCCTGGGACCAGGACAACAGTAACTGGAAAAAAATCAAGTTCTACCTTTCACCTACCATAAACCCCAACACACCTGTACTCAAAGCCCTCACTTATTTGAAATTCTGACTGCATTTACTTAGTTTGGCCGAGGCTGAGGTTTTAGGGATGTTTACCTCTGAGAACTATCAGTGTAGTCTCCAAACAAAAATCTCACATCCGAAAGCTCCTTACTTTCATGGGATTTCAAACAAGATTACACCCCTAAAAAAAGAGGGTGTATGGTCAAGCAAATGGAACACAAGACTCCCACTCAGGAGACCAACCAGGGTTTGTGGCTTGGGCTCCCTAGAGATAACTCCAAACATTGAGCACTCAAGCACACTCAATGTACACAACAAACATGGTACCATTTCTACTTCTGGAAAATACGGCAGGCATGTTGTCTTTGGAACTGCCTGGACATCAAGGGCTTCTCTTCACTGGACTTGTTTACATTGGTTTTCATAAATTCCTAGATTCCAAGGCTAGAAAGGACCACTGTGATCATTGCATCTGACTTCTTGGTTAACACAAGTCATAGAGCTTCCTCAAAAAAAGTCCTGAGAACACAAGAATGGCTGTACTGGCTCCACTTAGCAGGAATCTGTCTTTCAACAGTGGTCAATGCCAGGTGCCCCAGAGGGAATGAACAGAACTGGTAATCATCAAGTGATCCCCTGTTGCCCATTCCCAACTTCTAGCAAACAGAGGCTGGGGATACCATCCCTGCCCATCCTGGCTAAGCCTGAACTCTGTTATAGTCTTGGCCTTTACAACATCCTCTGACAAGGAGTTCTACAGGTTGATTGTGCTTTTGTTGTTGTTGTTGTTGTTGTTGTTTTAAATCTGCTGCCTATTCATTTCTTTTGGTGATCCCTAGTTCTTGTGTTATGATGGGGGTGGGTAAAATACAGTCTGCACGCCAGATCTGGACTTTTAAACATTTGGATCCAGCCCACTATGACTGTTGCTGATGTCCCATAGCTCAGCAGTGCACTCAGGCAGGCTGCCTGCCTGCCTCTTCCCTACATGCCACTCAAAGCTGCTTGGGCAAGCCTGTCTCTGCATTTAGTCCCCTTGGGAGGGGTAAGTATGTCTCTACACACTGCCCACACCCCAGCACCATTCTCATAGCTCCCATTGGCTACTTTGAGCAGTGTGTGTGGCCACAAGTGCTCCACTGTACCACCAGCTGGGAGCTGTCTACCGTAAGCACCTCCCAGTCAGAGCCGGAACCTGGCTCCCCCTCCTACATCCCATCCCACTCCTGACCCAAACTCCCTCCCAGAACCACACCCTTCCGGTACACCAGTCTCCTGTCTGGAGATTTCTCTTGCACCCAAACTTTGTCCTAGACCCTGCACCTCCTTCATTAATATAGTAGAAAAGTGTGGCCCGTGACAATTTACCAAATTTTTGCAGTGGCTTCCCTGAGAAAATTATTGCCCACCCCTGTGTAATGAGGAATAAATATTACTTCCTTATTTACTTTCTTCACTTTTCCACTTCTTCTTATTTGTTTTACTTTTTATTTTCTATTTTAGAGCAGATCTTTTAGAAAATTCAGAAAATAATGTAGTTTTGAAGTTGATTGTTTCCCTTTAAGATTAATGATAAATATGCATGTGTATTCAAGGGAGAATAGTCTCACTGGTACATAAAAAGATAAACAGAAAGATAATTTACTTACTTTAAAATATCCATATATGCGGTTGTTGTTAAGCACTGAAATGACGAATGATTCGCTGTCTTCTTTTGCAACCATGTTCTATGTGTTCAACACTGCAGTATTGTGCATTTTTCACAGAATCAAAGTAATTAAAGACTGAAAACATTGTTTGTTCCCTTTGACCATTCCCCTGCCAAAAAAAGAATTGTTCCCTCAGTACATTCCTTAGCGCTTGCTATACACTAACAATCAAATTGTTATTCATATCATTTATTTTATATGGCATAGGTAACAACAATTACATGACTTTCCCAGACAACTCTAGTTGCTAAAGTATTTACTAAATCAACTCACTTCATTCTGGCTTTTAAAAATACCTATTTTAAGCAATTTTCCACTAATTTTAGGTAACTACCACACAATAACCCTGGCTTGAATCCTGTGATGCTGACATAAAAGTCCCATTGATTTCAGTGGAGCTGCAAGATCAGCAATACATGAATTGTTTTTGTTTTCATGTTTTTAACTAAATCAAATCAAATAAAATGGGACATAAGTCTAGTGCTACTTTTGTGTTCATAACAATACTCGGAATGTCAGTTCCTTCCCAGAATTTGATATATTCTTAAATTCTTCTTCATCATATGAATCAAATGTTCCAGGCTTGTGAACTATTAATAGACAAGACACAAGACCCCCAAGGCCAAGAGTTTCTGTAGGCATTTGCTATACAAAAAAATGTAATCTTGATTGGATTAATTTGGATGTCATTATTTCAAACAATGAACAGCTCTTGGGAGTTTTGCACATGAAAGAACTGCAGGATTAAGGGTAACATTCACATTGGCTATGTGTACACGACAAGGTTTTTGCGCAAAAACCTGCAGAGCGTCCACACCTCAAGCACATTTTTGTGCAAGAAAATGTTCTTGCGCAAGAAGGTGTGTGTGGACGCTTAACAGGGGTTTCTTGCACAAAAAGAGCCTATCTGAAAAAGCACAGGTGCTCTAAATCAGAACTTTCTTGTGCCAGAGTGTCCATACAGTGTGGACGCTGTCTTGCGCAAAAGCACATCACTTTTGCAATGCACTTTTGAGGTATGGATGCGCTTTTGTGCAAGAAGTTTTTGTGGAAGATCTCGTCTGCAAACAGCTTCTTGTGCAAAAACCCTGCCGTATAGACAAAGCCCTCAATAAATGGCCCTGGTAACTCCCTTTCTGTATCCCTGAAGTCCTGCAGTGGCTCTGTTGGGGCAAGCTTGCAGATGTGCTTTGCAGGACACTCCACGCTCCACAGAACATGGGTCTCAGCACTGACCATGCATAATCTAGCACAGCAGACACTCAGGTACCCTCAGCATGGGTGGGAAACCTTCTAGCCATCAGGGACCACTGACCCACAGAAAAATCAATCAGGTGCCACACAGGGTACATCTAGAGTACAGAGCTCTTCTGGGACACCTGGAAAAGCTCTGCCGCGTCCAAAAACCGCATCCACTTTAACAAAAAAAGTTGGAAAAGTGGATGCATTTTGTCGGCATCCTTGTAAACCTCGTTTTACGAGGAAGAAGAGATGTTCTGAAAGAGGGTTTTTTTCTTGACATTTGGCCCCGTGTAGATGGGCCAAATGTCGGAAAAGCCTCTTTCGGAAGAAAAGCAGAAAAAGATACACAGGTTCGTAATTTGCATATCTTTTTCTGACTTTTCTTTGTAGTTTAGACATAGCCACGCAAGTAAAACAAAAGCAAAACAAAACCAGAAACACATTCACCTCACCTCACTCACACTAAACTCAGAATACTGGGGCTCCGCTTGTGCTCCAGCCACTCGGGGGAGGCGCAGCTTGGAAACTTTCCAGTGGGTTGGAGCGTGCGCATCGGCTCACCTCACTGCAGGAGGAAAGCCCCAAGACTTGTTGCAGGCCAGATCAAAGTAAGGGGGTCAGAACCATTGTACTATGATGATAAGCACAGTATAAATGACTAAGTAGACATAAATAGAACAGGGTGGTAATCCCTGGGAGGGATTTCACCTAGTAGTTAGGACAATTTGCCTATACTATGATAAAAGACATGTGGCATCGTTGTAGCTGACACGGGCCCGCTGACTTGGGCTTGCAAGTAGATGTTTGGGCCTGGACTAGAACCTGGGCTGTGAGACTCTCTCCCTTGCGCAGTATCTCAGGCTTAAATTTGAAGTGAGAGCCAGGTCCCATTGAAATCCATGGCAACACTCCCACTGACATCAAGGGGCCCAGAATTTCATCCTCAGTGTTTATTTAATGACTTACACACCACTTAACAGATGCAAAACCACCTGTATTCCCCTAGTAGCACACGGATCTGAGTCCAAATCAGGTTTCTCCCATTTGCACCAGTATCAGAGATGTTTGCTTCTAACATTACAAAATTTTGCAAAGAGCAAAAGCATGAACGTTTCCAACCTTGCCCC